AGCCACCATGACCCAGAACTAGCCGTTGCTACAGTGTTATGTCTTTGAATTTTGAAGTTGTGTGGAAATAGCCGTTGCTACAGTGTTTTATCTTTGAATTCTGAAGTTGGTGGATCATTCCGTTACTACAGTAATTTTTAAATGAATAGTTAGCTAACCGTTGCTATAGTGTTGATCCCTAAAAAAAATTCTTTCTGAACCAAACATGGTATTAGGAATTGGACTATTTCTATAAAAGTGAGATTCCTAATGCTTTGGGTGACACAAACATAGAATGCAAAAAAAAAAGGATTCCATAAAACTAAAACTTGTCTATAAATTTTATATGGATTAGGTTGAAATCCATAAATAAAATAGGATTCCTAATCCTATTCCTAGACTCTATTGAACCAAATAGGCCCTTAGCTATCGAGTGGGAATAAGACTAGGAGGATGAGAAGTGAGACCTAGAGATCGTGTCACCATGAGCCATAATTACAGCGCCCGTCGCAAGAAATCCCCTAACATCCGGGGATTATGTCACCGATGCCACCATGCCTATAAAAATTTGACGGGAAAACAAATGATTGAAACGTGTGTTGAACAACAAAAAAATTAAGCTAGGAAAAATTAAATAAAAAAGATATAAAAAAGAAAAATAAGAAACTGCCATCATTTTTTTTTCTATTTTTTAGAGAATGAGTTAGAAGGGATAGAATGGTCCTTTTAATTTTTATCTAATAGAAGTTTTAACCGAAAGTTAAAATAAAACTACGTCTACATCTAACAATTGGTACAAAAAACTTGGTTAAGAAAAAATAAAGTACATAGATTAATTTGAACATGAGGCCTAGGCCCCAAAGTAACCTCTTAGCCATCGGAAAAAGGAAAGCGAAACACGTTTTTCTTCACGTTTTCCATGGGAGAGGCACTAGAGGCACACTCTCCACCACACCTCCAACCACACCTCCCCTCCTGCTACAATGCACCAGGGCCCACTTGAGATTTAAATTTTAAATCTTAAGTGGGCTCCGGTGCACTGTAGCAGGAGGGGAGGTGTGGTTGGAGGTGTGGTGGAGAGTGTGCCTCTATCATTTCTCTTTCCATGGAGGGCAGAATGCCGATTTGGTCTACTGATTGCGACATAAAGGTATGCGCCGGAGGAAAGAAATATAGGTGTATGCAGTTACAGCCCTCGACAAAACCATATTTGTATTATGGTTATCGGAACGGATACGGTTCGAATATGACATTTACCATATCCATATCCGCTTTTTATAAACGGATACGGATACGGATACAAATTATCTTCGGTAAGAAAAAGTCTTAACCATATCCGCACTTTTCGGAAACGGATACGGTTCGGAAATTTGAGAATCGGATCGGATATGATCGCGGATATGAAACGGATATTCGACAAATGGATATGAATCAGATATGAATTGGTACACCTATGTATAAATTGAGTGAAGATATGCACAATTATTTGTTTTATTGTAACTGTTATCATTGTTAAATACCAAAGTTCAAGTATCTGACCTTTATTAGTTTCTTATTAGTTTCTTATTAGTATTAAAGTATCTGATCCCTTGGTTAATACTGATCTATATTCTTACTTAATTGCTCCACATGGGTCAATTTAGCATATGAAACACAATAAAAGTAGAAATGTGGCTCACGGCGACGAATGTATTGCTCAAATGAGCAAGATATGCACATATGTTAAGAAACAGAAACCTTCACTTATCAAAATGCCTAATTCTTCATATATTTCGTTCTCATTCTTTTTGTTTTCTATTCGAAATATGAATAATGTGTTCCCTTCTCATCTCCAGACAACAATAAAATGCCCATATTTCACAAATTATGGTAAGTTTATCCATGTTTACAACTAAATACTGGGGATTTTGAAGTTAAGAAGGAGTCAAAAGACTTGTAAAACTCTAATTCACAAAGGGGTAAAGTTACCGCTTACCTCGAATGGCTATCAATAAACTTGGCGTCCTTGCTAGCAACCAAGATATCACAGGCGAGCGCGATCTCGAAGCCGGCGATCACGGCGAACCCCGAGATGGCACCGATGATGGGCTTCCTGCATCTCTCCATTTGAATCACAGGGTTGGTGTCAGGGTTCTTGAAGTCGACCTTGAACACCTCCTCCACCGCGAAGTCGACTTCGGAGCAGAAGGTGCGGCCTTTGTTAGGCGAACTCTAGAGTCGGGAATGACGCCGGCGGGTTTGCAACTTCGTTAGTCAACTCTGCAGCGGAATCGACACATCCGCGAACTCCGGGCGCCTGTTGACGACAACCCGTGCGAACTCTGTGTATTTCTATCCTGGTTGTGGAATTGAGTGGGACAGTGGGAGGCTGGAGTTGAATAAGTGGCGGCTAGGGTTTTGTAATTTAGTTTTGTAGTTGGGTTGTGGGTTAGCGGTTACGAGTTTGCAACTTTGGTTATAACATGAATTCTTATGTTTATTAAATTGCGAATATCCATATCCAAAACCCTCATATCCGTATCCGAATCCGTATCCAAAAAAAAAATCTGAAACCAGATCCGTATCCGAAACCGTATCCGCCCGGTTTTAAAAATAACTTACCATATCCGCATCCGTTCGGATACGGATGCGGATCAGTTAAGATAAATCCAAACCGTTTGGCACCCCTATGTGTTTCCTACAGTTCTAATATTATTTAGAAGGAAAATGCTAGAGACACACCATTAAACCACACTTCTCACTACACTCATCTCTCGCTACAGTGTACTGGGGCCCACATGAGAATTTTTTTTAAATTTTCATGTGGGCCCCAGTGCACTGTAGCGAGAGAGCACCTCTCTATTTAGAATATATACAACGGTTCAGAAGAAAAGTATTTGTACATACGATTAAAAAAAAGACCTCATATCTGGATTAGACTAGCTTAACCGCCCTTTGCATGGGGAAAAACTCAAAAAAATATTTATTTTTGTTATAGGGTGTCCCCTGTTTCTTACAAATATTTTATCCCGAGGACAGACTCAGTCGAGCCGGCTTCATTCCTCAAAGACGACTCGAAATGCGGACTCAGTCGAGCCAAAGATTGCTACTCAGCGATCAGCCGACACTTCCCCCGAGGGCCACTCAGAACATTATTTCTTAGTATTATTTTACCATTTATGATCATCATTACGACTCCACGTCACCCACCGACAAACCTCGACGCCTGCAGGGTCCCCATACCACAGAAGTGACTCCACGTCACCCGCCGACAAGCCTCGACGGCTGCAGGGTCCCCATACCACAGAAGTGACTCCACATCACCCGCGGACAAGCCTCGACGGCTGCAGGGTCCCCATACCACAGAAGTGACTCCACGTCACCCGCCGACAAGCCTCGACGGCTGCAGGGTCCCCATACCA